GAGATGGAGGCAGACAATGACATGGAGCGATGGAGCAGCTGGGGGCTTTAGATGCAGAGAGGGAGAGCAACTGTGTGCTGAAGACGGGGCGGGGGGGGGGGGGGGGTCTGTGACCACCATGCTGGCTGGGGTCAGTACGGCTCTGTCTGTCCCTGGAGCCTGGACCACAGGCAGAGTGGGGAGAGGTGTGGGCAGCCAGGCTCAGGCCCTGGCCCGTCCTGCCTTGTTTCCGGAAGACCTCCTGATAGCCCTGAGTGCAGGGGGACTGGGGTGGTACCACTCATCAGTTGCTCCTGAGTTTGGCTCCAAACCCTTCCAGTGGCTGAAGTCGCCCTTTCTTTTCTTCCTTTGAAAACGGCCCTGTCGGGTATGTGACCAGCACGAGTCTGAGATCCTCCCTTTCCCGAATCCGGAGAGGAACTTCGTCCTGCCAGAGGAGATCATCCAAGAGGTCCGGGAAGGTGAGACGAGGGCGCGGCTGGGCATGGAGACTGGAAAAGGCGGAACCTGGCCAAGGGCAGCGGTGTTGGGGAAGGCCCCATGCCAGGGAGGACCAGGGTGCTGCGGGACGCCACTTCATCCTGCTCTCGAGTTGGGGATCTCCAGGGTAGGAAAGGGTTTTTTCTTTCAGAAACAGCATGGTGGAAGCCGCCTGCCATCCACAGCGTGGGCTGGCCTGGCTCTGGCCCCATGGCTGGCCAGGTGAGCCTCCCCGCAGGCAGGACCCATCCTCCACCTCCAAGCTTCAGTAAATGACAGCAGTCTTCCTTCCCAGGAAAAGTGCCCATTGAGGAGGAGATGAAAGAGGAAATGAAGGAAGATGTGGACCCCCACAATGGGGCTGATGATGGTGAGTACAGGCTGCATCCCCACGCCCTGGGCTGGACCGCTGGCACTGCGTCCTTCACCACCTGGCCAGTTCGCTTTTAGTGCTCTGACTTTGCTTAAAAGGTGGCACTGGCCTGCCAGGGACTCCCAAGATGGAATGATGTCATTCTCAGAGCTGTGAGGGCTGATGGGGCAGCCACCCAGCCTTGGGCATGGCCAGGGCAACGTGGGTCTGTTCAACATTAAGCATGGACAAGATATACCTAACACGTGTGTGCCAGCTATGCGCAGTCACATGGGGCCAAGTCACATGTGACTTGACACTCCTGGGGCCAAGACACTCCTCGAGGCTTGAGGCTTGGCTGGGTCCCCTGTGCCTGGTGCATGTGGCGTGTTTGGGATGGTGAGGGGAGTGTTGGGGTGCACTGGCTGCAGTGTGGCCTGTAGTTACAGCCGGAGGGCTGGTGTGTCAGTGTTTGTATCTTCAGGAAGCTTGGGGAAAGCAGCGGAAAAGTCCAGCAAAGAGAAAGAGAAGAACTCCTCAGACCTAGGATCCAAAGAAGGGGCGGACAAGCGGAAGCGCAGCCGGGTCACCGACAAGGTCCTGACAGCAAACAGTAACCCTTCCAGCCCCAGTGCTGCCAAGCGACGTCGGACGTAGACACCTGAGCTGAGCAGCAGCAGGAAGCTTGTGGGCGGGGCAAGGAGCATCCCAGCCCATGCAGCAACACCATCCTGCGGACACGCCGGCGATCTGATGGGGATCCCGGCGGACAGCGGCTTCCACAATGTCCACTGAGACTCTGGGAGGTCCTGAGGAGCTTCAAAGGACTCGGAATGACTCATCTCCGATCTAGAGGGGTGCCCAGGGTCTCTCTCCCCATGACTTTCTTCCTGTGACGCTGGGCTGCCTCTGAGATGCTCTGCATGCCGGAGGCTTCCCTCTGTCTTCTGGAGGAGCTGTTAGCCTTCCTGGGTAGGAACCAATCCTTCCCCTTGCCCTCAGGGAACGGCCTCAGCCTCAGGAGGTTGATTCAGTGGTGTCTGAGAATTTGGCCTCCTTTCACTTGTACTGTATCCGTGTATAGAATTTGGTTGTGGGTTTCACTATTTAATTTTTCTGACTGTATTACTAGCATTTTCTATGGAAAAACATAGCTACAGAAGTTAAAGCTGTTGAACTTCTCCTGAGATGTTTTGTTTTAAGGTAATAAGAGACTGAGGTACTTTTTGCTAGTTTTTTTATATGCCAAATCTGGAGAATTTGTAGCCATTATTTTTGTATTACCAGGTAATTTGCAAACAGACCAAAAGAATGAGCAGGACAGCCCTGCCGTACCTCAAGCTGAAGTGGCCCGGGGTTGGTGGAATGAACGTGTTTTGTTTGGCTGCTGACATTAAAGTGCAAAAAAAAATTTTAAAACCAACTTGGAGTCATGCAACTTTGATAACAAAAATTGGTTGGTTCACCTTTTCCCAGATGGGAAGCTTTTCAACTCTGCCAACTAAAGCGACACCTGACTGTTGAGAGTTCATTGGATACAATGGAGCAGAGAGTGGTTACTTTGTTGACTGACAAGCCCTTCAAATATGAGATGTGAGGACGAGAGGGACATGGTAACCCTGGGGCAATGGCAGTATTGCCCCTTACCTAACTCTTCAGGCTGAACATTCTGGAAGCACATCTACAAGCCTTCCAGATAAAGGCTGTGCTCTCCTGGTCTCTTCCACCACGGGCTGTCCTCTTGGCAGACATCCATGGTGGTAACACTGTCCCACACAGCTTGCAGCAGCAAGCAAACAGAATCAAAAGTCCTGGCCACAAGATGGCCCTCCTGGGGTTGGGAGCAGGCCCACAGCTGACCTACTTCCTGGGTGTTCTGGGTCTTGTCTGGATTCCTGCCTCAGCTTCCCCAGCAGAGCTGATGCAGCACAGACCAGGACTCCTGTGCCCGACACCTTGGTCTCACCTGGGAAGCAGCTGGTCACCCAGCCTATGGGGCCTTCAAGGACTCCCCGGGCACAGATGGGGTGAGCAGCTGCTGCAGGCTGAGACCCACTGAGACTCAGCACCCTGAACATGTTCACCCCACGCCCACACCAGTGGTGTCCTGTCATAGGGTATGAACCAAAGCTGAACCCACAAAGGGAAGCGTAGCTGAGGTGAGGTAAAGGCACGGGAAAGCAGGCCCGCTCTCTAGGAGTTCCATGTAATTGCTGAAAAGTGGTAATGACACCAAAGACTGGGACAATTGAGCAAGTTCCCCAACCAGTCTCCTGGGGGTGAAGTTGAGACAGCAACCCCAGGAGGTGCTCCTAAGCCAGGAGGGGCAGGCAGCATGGAACCTGAACCTTCCTTGGCCAAACCAGACTTAGATTCCTTGGTCCTGAGCAGCACCCCAACCCCCACAACACCTTGTGCCTGGGTCAGTTAAATCAGAGCAACTCAGGTGAATTGTGACTGTCAGCCACCTGCCCACGGTGTTTCCAGGGCCGCCTCTTCTTTGTCCCAAAAGGCAAACAGTGTCTTGAAAACCACTCTTAGGGAAGGTGGCCACTGGATGACCCCCAACTCCGGGCACAGGACCATCTGTTAGCTGTCTCTAGGGTGAAGAGGAGGTGGAGCCCCCATCCAGGTGCTCACAATACCCATGAATGCCTCACTCAGAGGCCTCCCAGTATGCAGGCAGCCAGTGGCAGATGACTGGACTTGAGTTGGTCAGGCCCATGATAGCACCTGCAGCGACCCTGTGCTGGGGACACTTACCCTGGTCATTGCTGGTAAGCAGTGGGCAGAAAGTCCCACAGCTTCTCCACTTAAGGGCAGAAAGGTGCCGGACCAGCAGTTCAAACCCACCACTACTCACTCCTCAGAAACACTATTCAGGGTCTCTGTCGGAACCGGTCTCTGTCGGAACCAACTCGGTAGCACTTAGCATTCCTGTATAGTTAATTGTTGTTGTTAAGTGCCTTCGAGTCGATTCCGACCCATAGCTACCATGCATAGGGTTTCCGAGGAGCAGCTGGTGAGCTTGAACCTCCAACCTTGCAGTTCAATAGGCGTTGCAGTCTGGCCCATTAACCCACAGCGCCGCCGCAGATCACAGAAATCTTGTCTAAGGTCTGCGTTCAGAGAGCAGCGCCCGCCTGGTCCTATCATGCTTTACCTAAGGCGGCATTTACCTGACCTCAGCCTGTGACTAGTCTGGGGTTGGGGGAAGCCCCCATCCCCTGGGGAAGAGCGACGCATTCTGCGGGGAGATCCTGCAGAGGGGTAACCCGGGGGAACGGGAGCACCTCCCATGGGGTCATGCACCTGGGGGGGGATCCAGGAGGGATGCATCCTGGGGAGAAAATATTAGGAAGCGGGCGTCCTCGGGACAGGTAAACCCGACAGTCTGCAGTAAACGCTGTCATCAGTTCTACAATGGCCCGCGGAGGCCGGCCCGTGGGCGGGGCGGGGCGGGGCGGGGCCAGGCAGCGATAGCCCCGCCTCCAAAGTGAAGCCCCGCCCCCGCGCTTCCTCCGCTTTCACTTTCGCTTCCGCCGGGCGAGCGCGGAGCGGCCAGCTGCCAGGATGGACGATCCGAACTGCGACTCCACCTGGGAGGAGGACGAGGAGGACGCAGAAGAAGACGCCGAATGCCCAAAGCCGGGGATCGACTTGGACGGGGACGCGCTGGGGGACGTGGACGAGGAGGACGATGACGAAGACGACGACGAGGAGGAGCCGCCGCGAGCCGTGCGGCCCAGCGCCCTCCAGGTGCGGCCCGGGCCTGGGTGCCCATCGTGCGCCGCCCCTGCGGCCCCCGCGCTCCCCGCACCCTCTCTACCGACCCTCTCGGCCCACCCTGGGCCGCCCTGGCATAGGGGTCTGCCGGATTGAGCTTCCCAGTGCCCTGCGAGGATGGGGAAGTGTAGCTGGGTCGCCTGGGCAGTGGGAGCAGCGCCGAGTGCTGGACTCTAGGGAGCCCCACCCACGTAGGCCAGGGCACTGTCACTGCCTGGGGTCCGGTTTGGGGGTCTATGCGCCTCTGTCCCCACCCCAGCCGCTCCTGTCCCGCTCCTCCCCATCAGCTTAGGCCGCCCACACTGCCTGCTGTGGCTGATGACCGGCAGCCTGCACCCCTCACTCTGGCCTTCAAGCCCCCCAACCTGCTCCCACTGGTCTTCCTGGTGTCAACAGCATCGAGTTGACTGTCATCTTGAAAAGCAGACTTGGAGGCCACACTTGATGGGACCTGTCTGACCACCAGGGTGGGGTCCGAGCATTTCTCCACTTCCACTTTCATTTCTCTGTCCCTGAGCAGCAGACCCCCTCCATACTGGGTGGTGTTACCTTGTGTTACTGGGCGTGGGTACTTGCAGCGTCTCCATGTGAACCCCATTAATGTGCTATTGATAGTCGGCAAGGTTACCCTTGGTTACTTGGTGATGTGACAGCCCCCACCCCTCAGTTACTCGCTAGCACTGTTCCCACGCGTGCTGTTGCTCCAGGCCTGAGGGGACCCAGAATGACAGCCTTCACCTTCACTGTGTCTCCAGGAGATGTCTGGATGCAGGTGTCCTGATCTGTGTCCAGGGTGTCTTGAGTTCAGGTCCTGCCTTCTCCAGGGTAGATTTCTCCTGTAGCAGGTAGTCATGCTGGTTCTGAGTTTTGTGTCAGGGCCTCTCGGAGTGGTTGGTCAGTGAAGGTGATACCAGAACCTGCTGGTTCCCATGGTTGTGCTGTGGGCCAGGTGAGGTGACTGTCACCCTCCCATTGTCTGCCCCTCCGGCAAACCCAGAGCCCAGATCCTGCTCTTTTCCTCAGACCACAGGGGCCAGGTCCCTCATGGCTGCCCCTGATGAACCTGGGGGGAAGAGCTCAATGGCTCCCCTCGGCTGGTCTCTGCTGAGCTCGGTCTGCTGGCCCTCTGTTGGGATGAAAGGCCTCATCAGCCAGCCCTGGCACAGAGTCGGGCAGTGAACCTGGTCCGGGTCTGGGGTTGAAACTGGATGCACACCAGGGCCTCTTGGCCTGGGCAGCCAAGGATCAGAACTGGACACTTGGCCATGATATGCAGTAGCCTGTCCCTTCCCTCTTCACAGTCATGGGAGCCAGCTGCCTCCCATTTCCATCCTTGGCGCCTCAGCCAGATTGCCCACCAGCACCCCTACTTCTGTGCCATGAGTTCAGAGCTCAGACTGCTCTTGCCCATTTGCCCTGTCACCAGTGACCTCTGGTCCTTTCTCAGACTAGTGCCCTGGGTCCCCTTTATTTGCCCTTCACTCATCAGGCCCTGCTTCAGGCACCCAGGTCCCTTGTCCATGACAAGGCCTCGGGGACGAACACCTGGGCAAGTTTGGGCAAAGCCAGGCCAACTGAGGGGAAACCCTGCTGAGGCTTGGGGGCAGGAGGCATGGGGCAAGACAGGGAACAGTCCCGTGGGAGTGTTGTCCAGTGTCTGGCTGCGGCGTGGCCGGAGAGCCGTGGAGCTGGTGGTCAGGCTCCTTGTAACTGTGAGCAGGACACAGGGGACTCTGGTGCTGTTGCTGTTCCATGCCATCCATTCGCTTCTGACTTTTAGAACGAAACAGCGCCGTCGTGTGCATGACCCGCTTTACTAGGGGCACCACAGGTTAAGCACTCAGCCTCAAGGTCCCTTTGAACTGCAAGGTCTATGATTCAGCCGCTCCTCAGAAACCCAATACAGGGTCTCTATGAGTCAGCACTGACTCAACTGCACTTAACTACAACAGTCCCCACCCCACCCCCAAGCCCTGGTGGTGTCATGGGTTAAGCATTGGTTACGATTTGAACCCAGCAGCTGTCCCAGGGAAGAGAGATGAGGCTAAATGTCGCCGCCTTCCACACCCTGTAGATAAGTTCTACTCTGCCACCCCTGTTGGGTCACCAGGGGTTAAAATCATCACCAGTAATGCCACCCCCCAAATAAAAACGGCTGATGACGGGTGCTGGGAGGAGCTGTGAGACTGTCACTTCAGAGCTCGGGGGTGCTGACTGTTTTCCAGGGGAGGGGTCTCCCATGGGGTCTCATCCCATCTCATCCTCTCCAGGCCAGGATGCTGGGGTCCCGAAACTGGCGGGCCATGCAGGACATGCGCAGGTACCGGCACCACTACCCGGTATGTACCCCCACCACTGAACACCCCTGTGCTCACACACAGTGTCTGACCCTGTGGGTAGAGAGGGCTCCAAACCAGCCCCCTTCCAGCCCTGGGACCACAGTGCCCCCTGCCTGTGGGTCAGTGAGTCATCACGTGGGCTGCACTCACCTGGCCACAGAGACTGCCCATGTGGTCCCCTTGGGTGGTCATCTTTGTCATCTCACCCGATCTGGGTCCTGCCCTCTGCACCCTCCACACCTCTTATGGATCACAGTCAGAGGGTGTTTCCCAGCCCCCGCCCCCCCAGCTCTGCAAGACTCCCTACTGGGGTGGGGGGGAGGAGAGTGCTACTGTGCCCTTGGGGCCAGCTGTCAGGATGCCCCACGAGCAGGGAAGCTCTGATGAGGTCCCACAGCCCCACCTCTCTGGCCCTACAGGATCTGATAGAACGAGACTGCAATGGAGACATGCCCAACCTGAGCTTCTACAAAAACGAGGTCCGCTTCCTGCCAAACGGTGTGTTCCCGGCTCAGTTACCCCTATCCTGGTGGGGTGTCTGGGCTTGGCTGTTGCAGGGTCTCCCCTGAGGCTGTGGCTAGCATGGGAACCCCAGTCTTCCAGCCAGGTCTAGGGTGGAGCAGGCAAACGGGAAAACACCAAGCCCCACTGTTACGGAATGAACTCTACCTCACAGTGACCCTGTAGGATGGCATCGCACTGCCTAGTAGGGTTTCTAAGACCATCGCCTTTATAGAAGCAGCTTGGCTCATCCTTCTCCACTAAGGAGAAGCACCTGGTGGATCTGAACCGCCAGCATGTGAAGAGCTTTTGAACCATTTACTTGTGGGATCTGTAATGGTTACATGAGCTCCAAATTCCAGTGCACTTCTCCGCATGTCTGTGGCGGTAGAGACCACTGCCCACTGTGCTGACCCTGCCCTAGGCTGGAGGACTGAGCTCTGGACTATAAACAAGGGCCACCTCCGCCTTGACTGCAAGGATGGGGCCAAGTAGGCCACTATGAGGGTCTGTGGCCAGGCTGGAGGGGCCAGGCCTAAATTCAGTGGGCAGTCCCATGGGTCCAGGACCGGGGCAGTCTGTGAGGTTGTGGCCTCCACACTGACGTGTCCCGGGCTTCTAGGCTGCTTCATTGAGGAGATTCTTCAGGACTGGAAGGACAACTATGACCTCCTGGAAGACAATCACTCCTACATTCAGTGGTGAGTGCGGGGGTTGTGTCCCGGGGCCTGTGGGCTGGATGCCATTGTCTGGGGCCTTTGTTCACCCTGTCTTACACCTTACACCATAGTGTGCGCATTACAATCTCCTTCCACCAGATCCAGTAGGGCCAGAGAGGCGGGACTGTGGGGATGGGGCAGGCTTCCCTGCTCTTGGGACATCCTGACAGCTGGCCCCATGGCTACAGTTGCCCCTCCCCTCACCGCCCTCCTCCCCCCCTAGTTTCCTTGTGCTTGTTAGTCACATGATCCACAGAAACACAGTAAGCTAACAGTGCCTTCTGTCAGGTGCCCAGTGGACTTGGGGGCAGAAAGATGCTTAGGGGACCAGTCACCTGACATGCTGGACACTGGATTAGTCTTGGGGATGCAGGTAGAGAGATGGGGCAAGCCCCCAGGACATCCTTGTGGTTCACACGTGCTGAGGTGAGGTTAGTGTACTTGGGCGCTCCATGCACTGAGTATAGGCCACTTGGGGAACATGCAGGACAGAGAACAGAGTCAAAAAGAAAGTGCCCCCACCCCACCTGCTTGCAGGAAGTACCTGAAGACCCAGCGCCAGCTCACAACCCTTGTCCTAGGCGTCAGGTCCATTTCTCCAGTCCAGGGGCAGAGCTGCCCGGCAGCACGTGGGGGATTTCAGTTGAGCTGGGCCATCTTTCTCCTTGTAGGCTGTTTCCTCTGCGGGAGCCGGGAGTGAACTGGCATGCCAAGCCCCTCACACTGAAGGAGGTGGAGGTGAGCCGTGGTTCCTCACATCACAATCTCTGCTCGTACCCTGAGTGTGCTGAGGAGCCAGGAGGAGTCCCCAAAGTGGTCCCCAGAGCCCAGGGCAGGAGCAGTGGTGGGGACATCTCCTTTAGGTGGCCTGGGTGTGCCCTGCCCTGCACTTGGCATCATCTTGGGCAGCTTGGAGTGGACTGTGTCAGGTGGCCTTCATGTTGCTCTGCCCTGGTGCCCACCCTTGACATTTAGGGTCCAGGCCTTGTTCACCCCAAAATGGGCTCCTTGGATGGTAGCTTTTGCCTACAGCGTCTGAGTGCTCTGGGATTTTCCAGGCCTTTAAGAGTTGCCCGGAGGCCATGGGACGCTTCCTCCAGGCCTATGAGCTCATGCTGGGCTTCTACGGGGTGGAGCTGGAGGACCGAGATACAGGCGCTGTGTGCCGCGCACAAAACTATCAGAAACGCTTCCAGAACCTGAACTGGTGAGGCCCGGTACCTTCCTGGGGTTCTGGTGGTTGGGTTGGCTCTCCTGGCAGGTGGGGCCCCCGCTGACTGTGAGGAGGGTTATGGAAACTGCAGCCCTCACCTGCACACAGGGCAAGCAGGGCTTCTCCGGAGCACCTTCAGCTTTGAGCTGCCCTGGCTTTGCCCCGAAATGCCAGGAGCACCCTGCCAATAGGGCAAGTAAACAGACTCCCAACTCAAAGGCGGTATTGGTGCCCACCACCCGGGCAAGTAAACAGACTCCCAACTCAAAGGCGGTATTGGTGCCCACCACCCCCACACACACATACACACTTGGTCCTGTGGAATTAGGGAACCTGGGCAGGGCCCCTCAGATGGGGCATGGAGCAACACCTGGCAGAGAGGCTATGGGGTTCAGAGGGCCCTGGTCCTCCAGGTCGGGCAGGGAGGAGCAGCTAATACGGAAGGAGAACCCATGAATCAGGAGGACAGCCCCAGAGCCCATGACCCCTTCCACTCAGGCCCCAGATTCCTGGAGATGCAGGTTACGGCCGTCCCTGGGGGTTCCAGCCAGGAGCCTGCTCACCACCCCCACCCCCACCCCACCTCCCCAGGCACAGCCACAACAACCTGCGCATCACACGCATCCTCAAGTCTCTGGGCGAACTGGGGCTGGAGCAGTACCAGGCGCCGCTGGCGCGCTTCTTCCTGGAGGAGACACTGGTGCGGCGGCAGCTGCCGGGTGTGAGACAGAGCGCGCTGGACTACTTCGTGTTTGCAGTGCGCTGCCGTCGCCAGCGCCGCGCACTCTTACGCTTCGCCTGGGAGCACTTCCGGCCACGCAGCAAGTTTGTCTGGGCTCCCCTAGACAAGCTGCAGAGGCTCCGTCCACACGAGGATGACAGCCCTAGGCGCCCCCTGGATAAGACCAACACCCAGGGTCGGACCTGTGGGCCAGGTGGGGAGGAGGGTGACAGCAGTGTATCCCAAGAGGTGGGATCCCCCGAAAGAGACCCAGGAAATGCGGCCTGCCTTGAGCAGGGCCTTGAACCCTCCAGCCCTAAAGAGAGCAAGAAAAGGAAATTGGAGGTGAACCGAGAGCAGGCCCGGGGGGAGCGAGGCCCGCAGAGCGCTTCAGAGGTGGAGAAGATCGCACAGAACCTGGAAGGCTGTGCCCTCAGCCAGACCAGCCTCAGGGTGGCCACCGAGGATGAGGGCAGTCAAGACCCAGAAGAAGACGAACAGCCCTGTCCCCAGCCCACGGAAGCCAAGGTGGCCGATGAGGTCAGGAAGCGACGGAAGGTGGACGAGGGGGTGGAGGAGAGGTCAGCCACTAGTGATGAGGCCCAGACGCCGACCCCCACAGGGCCCCCCACTGCATCGGAGGGACCAGAGGACGGGAGAGGCTTCTGTAAAGAACCAACAGGCGAGGAGCAGGGTGCTCCAGGGAGCCCCACAGAAGACCCAGTGGAGACCACCACTGGACCCCCTGTAGATGAAGGGGCAGTGGAGGCCGGACCCTCAGCCATACCTGCAGAGCCATAGAGCAAGGAGTGTGGGGTTAGGACTATGCCCTCCTCATGTCCAGGGTCCTGGGAGCCCCATTGTTCGCTGTCTACAGCACCAGTCATGCTGGTCTCTCCCTGGGATCTCTGTAGCCAGGACCAAGGCCCTAGCCCTCAGGGAGGTCACATTTGGACTTCAGAATCTTTACCTCGACTGTTTTTCAACTCTATCTTCCTCTGCCCCACGACCCTGCCTATCTTTGTATATTGACACTTAGGGCGTCTGGGGTGGGGACTCATTAGTGTGGTGCCAAGGTCTTCTCTGAATAAACTCATTGGACTTTGAGTCTGGGGGCATGCATGGGACCGTTTCAGCAGTGGGTGGTCAGTGGGTTCAAAACCACCTTGCCCAGTGGCAGCATGACTGCCCAGAGAGTGCACCCTGAGTACACAGCCCTCCAGTGTGCCCACTTGGACTTTGGTTTGATTTAGTGATGGGTGTTGGGCCTGATGAAGGAGTGGGACCTCATGTGAGTCAGGGTTCAAGTTGGGACAGAAAATCACCACGCCTGGAATGGATCCATAGGAGCAAACTCGGTGGGGTAGGCTCTGTGCTATGGTGGGCAAGCAAGAGTGGGTGGACAGCTCTGGCCTCTGAGCCTTGGGGCAGTGACGCTCTGTGACAGGTGGGCAGTGCTGTGAGGCTAGATGCTCCCCTCACTGGTCCTCACCACTCGGAGGCCAGCCCACCGGATGCTTCGGGGGTTGTCCAGTGCAGAGCGATTCCAATGGGAGAGCATCTGATGTCACCTCTTCACCCCACCTGTGGGAAGGTCTGCACAGAGCTGGGGAAAGAGGGGGAGATAGAGTTGGACCCTGGGCACTAGATGATCACCTCCACTAAAGCAAATCTCAGCTGGGCTTCCACTGGGTCTGGTGTAGAGCCATTCTGGAAACGTGGGACTGGATGAAGAAACTGGCCACAGCCAAACAGCTTACGCTGGTGGGAGTTGGGGAAGAACGTCCCCAAGTTTGGGGATGGGGATGAGCAGCTGGAGAGCTGAGCTGCCAAGGAAGCTGATTTGCCATCCCCTGCTGGACCGCAAGGTGAGTGGTTCAAGCCCAGCAGCGGCTCGTTGGAAACCCTATACAGGGTCACTATGGGTCGGAACCAATTCAACCACAATTAGCAACAATAACAGCCGTCATCTTGTCATAAGGCCTGTGTCTGCTGAGGTGTGTCTCACGATGACTCGGACCTTCTGGAGGGCAGCACTTTTCAGGCTTCACGTGCGCACACACATACATGAATGCATGCACGGTGCTCTCTCCTACCTGAGGGTGTGCCCAGGCCTGTGAGCTGCCAACAATCCATGCAAGGGACCGGTAGACGTTTCCTCCACTTTGAGTTGGAAAAAGTTTCAGCAGTGCCTTCTCAACGGACTTGCTGGACTTCCATGTGCATGCTTTTTCATCTACTCGATATTCACATCCTTTCAAACACTGAGTTCCAAACCCACATTTCCATAGGCTTCCTAAAGACTCAGAGCTGTGGGAGTAGGGTGGCCTACAGATGACTTAAGTGTTTGAGAACAGCCCCACAGGGTGGTCACTGAGGCCCCTTACCCTGCTCTTCCTCTGCCCCTCCCCAGTGTTGATCTGAGCTTGTACAGACCAGGTGATTCCTGAAATGCCCAAGGCGTGCAAGAACTGGGCACAAGCTACAGACGCCTTGGAGCTCCTGCACGTCAGAAATCTCAGGTCCCCAGTCGTCCTGGTGTCCTCGGGCCAGGGTCACCATTTTACGCTCTCAACCTCTGCCAGGGCTGGTGATGTGGACAGACCCCTTGTAATCTGGGCTCATGAGTAAGGGGCCCACTTTGTGGGAGGGATACCCAACCCAGGAGGGAGCCCAGATAGGGCGGTGCTGGGAGGCAGTCTGGAACAGGACTGCTCACTCTCTCTCGGGGGATCTTCCTGGGTTTGGGGGTCCACTCACCCTGGGAAGAGCTATGTGCCTCCCACACCCCTTTCTAGGGCTAGAGCGGCTTCTCCAGCCCCTTCTCAAGGGCTGCCTTTCAGTGTGGAATCGCCTGCTTCTCCACTCTCTGCTTGAGGTGCAGATGGAAAAGAGAGCCTTTCTGTTTTGCTAAAAGGTGTCTGTGTGCAGCTCACAGTCCCAGGATAATTTTAACCCAGAGACTGGCCAAAAAAATGTCGCCTGGGTCCTTTTTTACCCGTGACTGGCTGGACAGCGGGGCGCTAGGGAGGGGAAGCTGAGTCCCGCCCAGCCCCAGGTGGGCCTGGCTGAATGAGGGGCTTGTGCGTGAGCAGGAGGGCGGGGTAGGGGGGAAGAGAGGGCGTGCTTGGGCATCTTGCTGGCCGCCTCCCCCAGCCCACTCAGAGCAGGAGCACCGAGCAGGGACGCAGCCATGGTAGGAGCCTCCACGCTGGTGTTGCTCCTGCTTGGGCAGTTCCTGGCTGTGACGGAGACTCAGACTCAGGTGAGGCCCACCCAGGAGAACTGACGACCTGGGTTTGGGGGTTCTAAGCTCAGCTGTCAGGGTTGAGTCCAGGAGACGACCCCCAACCCCTTCACCTGGGCAAGCAGTGAGACTGACTGCCACCTTGCAACTTTTCGCCCATAGCTGCTTCGACAGTGGGGTGCAGATGCTATGGGTCCCCTCACTGCTCCTTGGTCGCCTGAGTGTCTCAAGGAGCCTCCCTGCCCACCGGGCAGGAGACACTGGAGGTTCTGAGGTGTACAATGTCACCTTTGTTCCCAGCGCTCCCTGCAGGCAGTGGGGAGGGAGGAACAGGAGGGGTTGAGATGCTGAAGGCAGATTAACTGTGTTCCCACGTCCAGCTCTCTGAGGACTGTGGTTTTGGGGGGACTCTGAGGAGGGCAGGAATCTCAGCTCAAGGGCTACTCGACAGGACCTCTGTGACAGCCCCAGTCCTGTCCCGCTGCATCAGACTGACTGGACTCTAGAAGGAAGCCTCCCTAACCGAGAGTTTCTCCATTTCAGAAAGTGGGACCTCGAGGCCCCCCTGGCCCCCAGGGACCTCCAGGAAAACCGGGCAAGGATGGAATTGATGTGAGTAGGGAGGGGGAGGGGACCTCTCTGAAGGTGTAGCTCTGTCCCTGACCTTGCTGAGCCCCCTCACCAGACTGATGGAAAGAAAATGAAAGCCCCTTCTGAGGGAACATCCTTGGTAAAGAGCCAGTGACATGATATTAATCAGACAAAACTTCTTGTTTTGACGTGGGACAGATGGGAAGGGTGGTCCTTAGATGGGAAATGTGGAGCGGACGTGTGTGTCTGCGTCCCACTTTTGGGGGTCTGGGCTCAGGGACTCGGTGAGCTGTAGGTGTGTCCCTCTATTGGGGGACGTCTGCTTGGTACTGCTAGGGGCTGAGGGTTTCCACATGGGTGTCCCAGGAGGCTCGGATCAAGTTGTATGAAGACAGTGGACCCCCTGTAAGGCTGAAGAACAGGGCCTCCACATCCACACACCCCTGCTCGCCCAAGTACCTGAAACTGCTGGCTTCTTGCCAGGTGGAAGTGAGGGTAGGGGGGCTGACAGATAGTCAGATGAGGGTTCTGGGGTGCCTTCTGCAGATCAGGTGTGTGGGTGGCCCCCTTCCCACCCAGCAGAACCGGTGGCCTCTTGGCAACAGCAGTCTGCTTCCTTAGACTTGTCAGGCGCAAGGAGTGGGGTGAGGGGCATGTGACTGATCCCCCAATACTATATCTGTCCTCTACCTTTTCCTCAGCACCTCCCTAGGGTGATCCTTTAGGTGGGGATAGGAAAGTGGGGGTTGGAGGCCCTATCTTGTCTCCACTGCCAGGCTCTGGGGCTGTCTCTGCATCCTTTGGAGGGGCTCCAGGGAGCACTCAGTCATGTGTGCATGTCCCCCACCCCCTCAGGGAGAAGCTGGTCCTCCAGGTCTGCCTGGCCCTCTGGTGAGTCTTGCAATGCGGTGAGGGTGGTGGAAACAGAGAACAGAGGGTCATTGAGGCCCTTACCACCCTGTTAAATCCAGGGTCACCTGAGGGGAGGCCTCAGAAAGCTAGGAGCAGAGGTGGGAGCTGGGGAGGGGACAGAGGGGGCTGTGGCTTCTGTCAGCCTTTGAGGCTTTCTTTGGACCAATGCCCGGTGGTGTGAGGGGTAGGGGATGACACTCGGACCCTCATGAAGTGGGGCTGGTCCTCATGCCCAGCTGCCCAAGTCTGGACAGTGCTGAGGCTAGAGACCTGACTGGGCCCTGGGGAAACTAGCGAAATGCACTGGCCCTCAACTAGGGAGTCCAGGAGGGCAGAAGTGAAGGGCTGGGCCTGTCTCCAATTGCTGGAGGTACCAGTGCTGAAAATGCTTTTCTTCTGATGAAAGCAACAGCTAGATTCCTGACTAGGTTCCTTACTCCCTCTCCCTCCATCCCTTGCAGGGACCAAAAGGAGCCCCCGGGAAAGCAGGGAAGCCAGGAGAGGTGGGGCTGCCCGGGCTGCCCGGAGTGGACGTGAGTACACCCTCCATCGCAGCAGGGGCCAGGGACAGGTTTTTAATGCTGCCCTCCAACTGGGCCTGTCCAATCAGGCAGTCCTGTAGAAAGCCATCCTGGCCATCCTCACAGGGGACCCCTGGCCCTCAGCCCAGACTTCAGACATGTGGCAGTAGCAGAGCCCAGCTCCTGCCCAACTAAAAACAAACCATCATTGTTTTGGGGCCGTCCACACTGCCCCTGGCCCCTCCACCATCTTTCTGCCTATCCATCCATCCATCTGCCCATGGGAGGGTTCAAGGCCAGAACTGGAGACATCCCGCTGGACTCATCCTCAGGAGCAGCCCCCCACCCCACCCCACCCCACCTGTGATGCTTATTCCCTTGTGACCCCTCAGCCCCTCCTCTGCCTCCTTTCCCAGGGTCTGACTGGGCGGGATGGACCTCCTGGACCCAAGGGCACCCCTGGAGAGCGGGTAAGTGTCCCTGGGTCCCCAGGCCAAGCTGCTGGGACTCAGCCTACGCCCACCTGTCCTGTCTGTGGGCTCACTGACTGGTGCTACATGGAAGCACTTGCCTCCCATCAGCCTCAGTTTCTGTGGAGAGGGGCTTCACCCTGCCACACACTGAGGAGCTGTGAATCCCTGGTGGGACTTTGTGGCTCATAGGCCAGACTCAGCTCTTCCCTGACACCCACCTTCTTCCTCCCACAGGGAAGCCTGGGGCCCCCAGGACCACCTGGACTTGGGGTGAGTACCATGTGGACCCCAGGTGGGGTGGCCAGCCTCCAGAATCCCCAGAAGCTTGGGTTTGAAACTTCTGGACGGAGGCCCCTGGCTATGCTCTGGGGGGGGGGGGGGGGAACTCTGAGGGCTGTCCCCTGGGGGTCTCCAATAAGCAGACACACATCCCCTGAGGACCCCCCATGCTCCTAGTGACCTCCATGTTGCTTTGGCAGGGCAAAGGCCTCCCCGGACCCCCTGTGAGTACAACCACGCCCACGGCCTCCTCCCAAGCATACCCCAAAGCCAGACTGGGATGTCGCACAGCATGTAGGGGGTGGGGTCCTTGGGGATAGCAAATTCACCCCCACACCTGAATCTCCTTCAAAATGGGCAAACGCCTCTGGGACCCCCTCAGCAGAGATCTGGGTGAACAGACTCCCCTCTCCTTTCTCCAGGGAGAGGCAGGAGTGAGTGGCCTCCCAGGTGGAATGGGCCTCCGGGGACCCCCGGTGAGTGACTCTTAGACACTGCCCCCCACAGGAGGGCTGGGTTAGCAAGTCCATGTGCGATTGACCAGTGACCACCTCAAAGCCCACTGGGGGCTGTCTCTCTCCTCTTTCCCTCCCTTCCCACTTCCTCTCATTTTCCTTCCCTCCCCACTAGTTCTAGCTCTTCCTCCTTTCCCTTCTTCCCCATACCCTCTTTGGCAGGTGTTGTCTGAGCCCTTGCCAGTGCTCGGAACAGGGACAGACCCAGGCCCAGCTGACCCCAGCACAGGCCATGGGGGAGGCTGAGAGAAGGAGGAGGGAGGGAGCTGAGGTGTCCCCTTGAGGAGGTGACTGTCACCTCACCTGCTCCAGCTAAGTCATAACCTCCTCCCAGGGACCCTCCGGACTTCCAGGCTCCCCAGGACCCCCAGGACCTCCTGGGCCCCCAGTAAGTACTGGGCAGAGGGGGTCCAGAGCTCTTGGGGTGTGTTGGGCATGGGCACTGTGCCCATGTGGGGCTGGATTCCCCTGTCCCCAGAGGCCCCCATCACCACCACTCCTGAGATGGGCCAGCAGGCTCGGTGTTCCCAGGGACAGGATGGCCCCAGCACTGGCCACCTGGGGGAGGGGTGTCTAGAACCTACCATGGGAGGCTGAAGGGTCCCTGGCAAGGGGGAGGGTATGGTGTGCCAGCGGTAGGGAGGGAGAGAGGCCAGCAGGATGGTGTCAAACCCAGCTCTTTCTCTGTTCCAGGGCCACCCAGGTGTCCTTCCTGAAGGTGCTACTGACCTGCAGGTGGGCATTTGCAGCCACTGGAGGAGGAGCCGGGCCTGGCCACAGAACTTGTGTGTGTGTGTGTGTGTGTGTGTGTGCATGCGCGCGCATGTGCATGCGTGTGCGTGCGTATGTGCGTGCGCATGTGCGTGCATGTGTGAGTGCGTGTGTGTATGTGTGTGCTATGTGGCCTGACCCACAGCCTCAGGGATTCTCCGTCTAAAGTGGTGACAATGGCTTGACCCCATCCACAGGAAGCAGGGCTGGGATTTTGGGGTGGGGGGGCAGGGGGCTCACTGCAGGAGGTTCTGCTGTGTGATACCAGCTCCAGCCCAGCCTAGTCCAGACCCCAGCTGGGGTGCCTTCCTGTGCCCTCCCTGCTCCGGGCCCAGGCAACACTGTTCATACATTAGAGGAAACCCGTTTGAGCCCTTTCTGAGGGGCTCTTAGCCTGATGTGGAGAGTCTGCCATACAGCACCATGTCTGAAGGTGGCTCCAGAGCAGCCCCATTTGGAGAGAAACCACACCTGGTATCGGTGTGTGGTAGTGTGTGTGTGGGATGGGCAGTCAGTCTCCCCCCCTTCTTCAGCTGCCCTAGGAAACCTGTCAGCTGTCTCTGCCAGCCACTCCTACCATGTCTAAGCAGGCCAGGGGCTGTGGGCAGGTGGAGTGGATTCTGCCCAGCATAGCTGTGGAATGATCTGGAAATCACGGCCTATGCTGGCAGGGGCAGGGGTGGGGCAGGCAGGGCACTGGGCTAAGGCTCTCTACATGTCACTCCCGAGATGTTAGAACCTGCTGAGTGTCACTAGGGTGACTGGAGTGAAGCCCCACTTGAGAACACCCCGCCCCCCGATGTCAGGATGGAGGGGGGATGAGGTCCCCCTGTGCTCAGTGCCCAGTGAAGCTGTTCACTTGTGTTCCTGGCCCCTTCTCACGGGAGGCCCTTGGGTTCACCTCCGCTTCAGGAGGGCTATTTGCCCAAGGGGCCAGCCTGTTTGGCCGGAGGGGTCTGACCCCTTGTGCTATCCCACAGTGCCCTGCCATCTGCCCACCTGGCCCCCCAGGCCCCCCAGGAATGCCAGGATTCAAGGTGAGACTCTCAGTGAAGGTGGCAGCCTTAGTGGCTGAGTTGGGTGGAGGTGGGGACCCGTGTTTATCCAGGTCCCAATACTGGCGCTGTGAGCTAGGCTGTGCGGGTCAGAAGGTGGCCTTTGTCTCGGCTCAGGAGAACACATCCACCCCACGCTGCCTGGCACGCCCCCCTCCCACTTCCCAGTGACCCCCAGCCCCACCTGCTTCCTCTCCCGCCGCCCTTTGCTGTAATGCTATGTCTGGGACCTCACTTGGGTCTGCTGCCTTGAGAGGGTTGGATTCCATCCTCTTGGGAGTAGGGTGTCTTAGGATCCAGGAGGAGTGTGACCCACTTCTTTATGTGTTGGCTTCAGGGACCTACTGGCTACAAAGGGGAGCAAGGAGAAGGCGGCAAGGATGGAGAGAAGGTTAGGGGAGAATGCTGGGCGGTGGAGTCTGAGGTGGTGAAGCAGAGGGGCAGGGGTGGGCAAGCCTGAACGTGGAGACAGGCTAATGTCTTAGATGTGGCTGAGGGACCCTCTCTGTAAGGCCCTCCCTCCCTCAGCCTGGATTGGGAAGTGGGGGGTGCCCCCTACCTCACAGGTGGGAGTAGGTTGTAAGTAATGGGGTGGGGGCTGGAAGAACCCGGGGTACACCCTATAACATGCCTTCTCATCCCTATTGCAGGGTAACCCTGGTCCCCCTGGGCCTGCCGGCATCCCGGGAACCGTAGGGGTGCAGGTGAGCTAGGCAGGGGTGAGGTTGCTGGGGTAGGAAGTCCTCAGCAGTGGCCCACAAGGTGGTGACTACTGTCTGCCTACACACAGTGGTAGGCCCACCTACCCATAAGCCCTCCGCTGACCCTCTGTAGCTGGATGGGGAGAGTCCTTGGCCAGGACCCTGTATCTCTCACTCTCCCCACAGGGTCCCCGGGGACTTCGAGGAATGCCAGGGCCACTTGGGCCCCCTGGTGACCGGGTAAGTCCAATCCCACACAGGTGTCTGTCTGTCCTGGGTCCTGTGGACTAGTCTTCCAGGGAGACCAGGGGCGGAACCCTCACCAGACTTAAGACTGGCCCCCAGTCAAACGAGGGCTCCGTACAGTGAGGACATGATACAGGGCATGATCCTTAGCCTTGGGGGAGGCTGGACCAAGTGTCTTCAAGGACTCCCACACAATTCCAAAACATGGGGTACATGCCACAGAGGGGGGTGTATGCCAAAGACTGCTTCAAATGGAGCAGGTCTAGACTCCCGTTTCCTCTACAGGGTCCGATTGGGTTCCGAGGCCCCCCCGGGATCCCTGGAGCACCCGGGAAAGTGGTATGTCTGTGTGGGGGGAGGGAGGGGTAAAGAGCCACCTCACAGGTTATGTCTACCCTCATGGGACTGACACAAACCCAGGTCCATGGGCCAGGGGTTGCTCCTGACACCCCAAAACCAGGGTGAGGTTCCTAGGTGGGGGAGTGCTATATCTCACTATGGACTTAAAGCAGGTCACTGGCTCTGACCCTTAGTGTTGGCCCGACCCCTCAATCAGGTCCTGCCAGGCTCTGCAGGACACTGACTCTGTTCCTGTCCCTGTCCCCCCTTGTTTCCCAGGGTGACCGAGGCGAGAGGGGTCCAGAGGGGTTCCGAGGACCCAAGGGTGACCTTGTAAGTGAGTGAAAGAGGATACTGGGAAGCTGGGAAGGGGGTGGTAGAATAGGCCACGAGAGGGCACATGCCAAGGGGTGTTGACCACTCCACACCTGCCTTTATTGGGGCGGGGGTGGGGGTGTGGTGAGCCACCTCCCCCTAGGGGGTTCCTCCCAAGCACTCCCTGTGCTCTGAGCTGTTCTGAAACCCCGCCTGGATACTCTAGGCCTACCTGAGCTGGTACTGCTGGAATCACCAGCAGCTTAGCAAGCTCATGTCCAGGGTGGCCTCAGTGAGGGGTTGGGCAGGGCCTGTGGGACCCTGTTGGAACCTTGACCGACACAGTCCCTGGGGCAGCATGGGGGGAGCAGGAAGGGCTAAAAGAAGCAGAAGTGAACCCACATGGTATGGAATGACAAGCTGGAGTGACCATCACTGGACTGGTATTTGCCTGTGGCCACTCCACCCCTGGCTGGTGAGGGGTCCCTTTGGAAGAGTGTTGGAGGAACACAGATGTAGCCAGACTCTTGGTGCTTCTGGTCCCAGGCACCCAGGGATGATGAGCGTGGGAGGGAACGTCCTCTTTCCTGCTGCCCTGGTTCCTTCTGCCGCTTGCTTTGTCTTTCAGGGCAGACCTGGCCTCAGAGGCCTCCTTGGACTCGCTGGTCCCGCTGGAGAACCGGTATGTGCTCTCTAGTCTGTAGCCATGCCTTACTTCTCCGAGAAGGCTCATCTTTCCAGGGCCCCAGTCAGGGCTGTTGGCTCAGTGTGCTACCATTGCTACCTTGAAGAGTGGGGTCACTGCTCAAAAGCCCCACCCACATTTGCATTGGCCCACCTGCATCCCCTCCAAGCCCTAAAGGCAGACCCCTGGGAGTTCTCTTACTAGGAACCCTGGCCAATTCTGCACATCTGTCTTGCTTCTGAGAGTGGTTAACAGTCTGAGGATCGGCAGGTCTGGGTCCAGATGCTGGCTCCCCAGCCTCAGTTTCCACATCTGTAAAATAGGAGCCACACAGAACTTCCTCAGGGCAGTGTGGGTTCCCTTGTTGCCATCTGCCCACACCCATGCCTTCGTGACTTCTAAGGATGACCCAGACGACCCCTGCCACCACCAGACCACCAACAGTCATGGGTAGCTCAGGCCCTGCTGGTCCGGGAGGGGTAGAACAAATTGGGCAGGGAGGCAGCTGTCGAGGCTGTGTGTGTGTGGGGGGGGTATGCACCTGATACAGCCCCTCACCTGCCCCCTGGTCCCTAGGGCATGCCGGGCAAGGATGGCCGGGACGGTGTACCAGGACTGGACGGGGAGAAGGTGGGTGTGGCAGCTGGCTTGGCTGGGAAGGAGCAGGAGGAGGTTTCAGCCCAGATGGCACTCATCTCCCTCCTACCCCATTGTTTATCCTCTCAGGGAGAGGCAGGCCGCAATGGCGTTCCAGGAGAGAAGGGGCCCAACGGACTGCCGGTGAGTGCTGGGGGGGTGGAGGGTAGCGGGTGGGAAGGCTTGGGGGTGTGAGGGGCCCAGGCCAGTGCTGAGATGGGTGTTCCACATGCATGGCTGTGTGGGAACGCCCTGCCCAGGGGCCCCCAGGAGGTAGGGTCATCAGGGTCCCATTGGGTTGGTGGGGGAGACACCCGTCCCAGCAATGGGCACATTCTGTCCCCAGCCCTACTAAAAGCTCTGACCACCACCCCACCCTGGCAGGGCCTCCCGGGTCGAGCAGGGTCCAGAGGCGAGAAAGGAGAACAGGTATGTGGTCTTCCTTGGGGACAGGAAGAGGGGTAGTGGTGCAACCTGTGTGTGTGTGTGGGGTGGTGGATTCAGGCTGCACTCAGGGCCCTCTCCCTCCACAGGGCAAAGCTGGAGAGCTGGGTGAGGCAGGCCCCTCAGGAGAACCAGGTGTCCCTGTGAGTAATCTGCTCCTCCCCACTGCAAACCTCCACCCAACCCCTCTCTCCTTTCTCCCTCTGCTCCTCACACCCCACATTCCTATATGAGCTCTCTATCCTGTGTGGGCTCCACTCACACCTGCCGCTCCTCTTGCAGGGAGATGTGGGGCTGCCAGGGGAGCGTGGTGAGGCTGGCCACAGGGGCTCTGCGGTGAGTGGTGGGCCAGGCCCCAGGGGTGGTCCCTCCACGCAGGTGAGGGTGGTTTGGGTGCAGCTCACGGAAAGCCTCGTCTCCCTGGTCCGCTGTTGCTCAGCCCAGCCAGAGCCAGGGGTGCTCTCCGGACCCTCATGACCAGCTGGCCACGCCTCACACCCCTTCCTAGCCAATATGATGCCAACAGCAGCCACTCTCCCCAGAGGCAGTGGGCTCGTGGCTGTGGGATAGAGGGTGTGCTTGCCATCTACCTCCCCCTAGAGACCCTCCCCCATGTCCCAGCTGCTGGACCAGACTCTGGGCGACTGCCTAGCCAGCACCCCTCTCATTTGCAGAGGGCACTTCCTGGGGTCCCATCAGCACTTCCCCAGAGACGGGCACACACTTACACCTCCTCTCTCCTCTTAGGGGGCTCTTGGCCCACAAGGCCCTCCTGGTGCTCCTGGTGTGCGTGGCTTCCAGGTGAGTGCAGTGCAGGTTGGGTTTGGGCAGGGTGGGGGGAAGGAGCCTGTTTGGGGCTCACTGAAGGGGGATACACTGTGTCCACAGGGCCGGAAGGGCAGCATCGGGGAACCTGGCTTGCCAGGCCCCCAGGGCCTCCGAGGCGGCATGGGCGAACGAGTAAGTGGCTGTCCTTGAAGGCCTGGTTTGGTCCTCATCCACACTCCACACCCTCAGACTCAGCAGGGGGACAGTCATCTGATGGGCCCTGTATACAGGGAAGTTATGTCCCAGTCTTCATGGCCACTCTCAGCTGAGCTGAGCTGAGCTTGCCCCCACCTCCAGGGTGACAATGCCCCATATAGAGCAGGGGGACAGTTCTGATCCACACTGGGCTCCCGCCCCTACCTGTTCATGGCCTCTTAACCGCTCTGTTGGCCTCACATTGATGAGTGCTGTCCCCTCGTAGCTGTGACACTGCCCGGGAACATATGTCATGCAGGGACCAGAAGTCTCAGGGACACGGGTCCCTGCAGGCTCTCCTGGGGAGACACCCCACCCCCTCCATCATCAGTTCCTAAAACTGTCCCCCTGGGTGAGGACAAGGCCTCTATTCAGCTGTGCTCCAGCATGAAGGCCACAACTTGCCTTCCAGGAAGTCGAGAGGCCTCAGGAACATCGTCTCAGACACCCCTTCATTCCAAGGGGTGTGGACACCCTCACCCTGTAGCCAGACAGACAGTGGACCCTTTATTAGCCTCCAGGGTGGAAATTCCAGGGCTTGGGGGAGCCACACCAACAGCCTAGGCCTCTGAGATGAGGGGAGGGTGGGCTGGATTTCCCGTCAGACCCACAGGGATGGTCTCTGTGTACAGAGCCAGCCCTGGTCCTCATGGATGGCCTGAGTAAATGAATGTTTTCCTGCATTCTTTTATGGTGTGTTTCTAACCGTGCGCGGGCGCAACGTTAGAGGAGTCTGTAGATCCAGCCCATGGTGGGGGTGGGAACTCTGTTGTTATTTAGACTGCACATACATGTCAGCAGCAAGTTTTCGCAGCACCCTTTGTGCGTATGGATGTGGGGATACCTTGGGTACCCTGTAACCAGTCTATTTCTCTCTATCTGCAGGGCTTTGGAGGAACTGCAGGTCGGAAGGGAGACCAGGTGAGGGACTGAAGGCCAACAGTGCTAGGATTCTCCTCACCCTGGCCACGGGGCTTCCTTGCCTGTTTCCAGAGCCTTCTCATTGGCCCCTTGCTTTCTCAGCTTTTGCCCTCCTGGACCTTCCTGTTTGCATCACTCATGGTTGTCACCAGCCACCGTCACCCCCAGCACAGCACCCAGCTCCCCAAGTCAGGGCCAGGGCCAGTATAGCCAGCCTGTCTGACTCCTGATCTGAGGCAGGCTGGGGCCTATTGGCTCCCCCAGCAGGGTCATCTCCTGTGTCCTGGCAACTCTTACTGGTGGAAGGCCCTGTTGATGACGGGCATCAGCGAGTCGAATCTGACTCATAGTGACCCCATGTGACAGAACAGGACGGCCCATCGGGTGCCCCAGGGTGCCTTCTTTATAGGGCCAGAGGACCTTGTAGAGCTGCTGGCTGGGTTCAAACCACCAACCTTTCAGTTAGCAACTAAGCACTTAACCACTGTACCACCACTACTCTAATGGCACGTTCCAGGTCCTGGGCTTCTGGACTCATCTGGGAGTGGGTTTTCACCAGCCCTAGCGAGATGGACTGGCCAAGTGGCAGCATCGATGGACTCAAGTGTGGCAATAGTAGTGAGGTTGGCCCAGGATCAGGCAGTGTTTCGTTCTGCTGTGCATAAGGTCGCTATGGGTCGGTACCGACTCGATGGCACCTAACAACATCAACAAGCTTAGAGCAGGAAGGAGTTACAGCTCCCTAACTTGGGGTGTCCTTTCTAGGGCATCGCTGGTGCTGACGGTCTTCCTGGGGATAAAGGAGAGCTGGTAAGTATGACACATTGACCTTTAGTAGCTTTGGAGAACAACCACACTCAGGGGGGCTAGTCGGTGCATAGGCTCGGCTTCCCTCCAGGGCTGTACCTGCCTGGCCCTTCCCATGCCCACCTGAGGGCCCCTGCTCTTGAGTACACCCACTCCTTGCTTACCAACAGGGTGAGGATCCAAAGACAGGTCACTGTGCAAAAATCAGGGTTATGATCACAAAATGTCAGGTGAATACATCATTACGTAACTGTCTAATCATATCGTTACCAAACTGCCAAACCAGTGAGAACCATGACCCAGCCACGCTGACACGGTTCCAACTCTACCAGGCAACATTACCGTCACGTCACACCTCGGCATTCTTTTCGGCTGGGTGTCTGTCATCAGTGCATGAAATTGTCAGAAAGGACATGTTTCACTATTGTCATAAATGCAAGCTGTGGGATGAGGAGACAGCTATTCAGTGAAGTGAGGAGTAGGTACAATTGTACTAACGCCAATTGTGAAGGTGACTGTTGGCTCTGTCAGTATGTACTGCACATCATTTTCACTAACGTAAAGCAAACGTTCGTGGAGTTCACAATCATATGACATAAATCCTCGGCGGGTTTACATTTTTCAGGCTGTGCCCCTTTTTCACATTTCTCTCCTAGTAGAGGTAGCTTCAGTCGGCAGTCACTGGGCTTGGGGGATACGGTCTTTCTGGCTTTGGAGGGGACAGAGTGTTAAATCCTGTAATTTAGCATTCCCTGTGTGTCTAGATGAAATGGAAAACCACTCATCCCCAGGGGTCCTGCCTTTGACAAAGCCCTCACAGCCCATGCAGGGTTTCTATGTCTTCAAGTAAGAAAAGCTCAGTTGTTCATGTGTGGAGTTCATTTTGGGGGTGAGTTCTTAGATCACCGTGACAAACGAGACTCTGGGAATCAGGAGGAAGGCTGGCCCGGCCCTATAATCTCATGAGGTGGCGAAGGGACAGTGTCTGCTCTGAGCTGAGGTAGTGTCCTGCCCTCTCCAGTTCCAACTGTGACCCTACACCCAGATTTGTCCAGTGCCCACCCCCGCATGCACTGGGGGCTTTCCTGAAGACACAGCTGGGAGGGGGACAGAGCTTCAGGGTCAGACATTCATTTCTTTCTTTTTTCAAAGATAATATTTGATTGTGTTTTTTGAGAGAAAGTTCACATAGCTTCACTTTTGATACATATTGGTCAGTTTCAACATTCTCCTTCCCACAGTGGTCCTCCCATCTCCATCCATCCATTTTCCCTGCTTCACCCCACTTCCCACCCCTTACTGTCTCATCTTTGCTTCCGGGTAATTATTAACCATTTACTACCAAAGAGATGATTTTATCAGTCTCATTTAAAGGGGAAACCAAATAAATGTGAGAGAAAAAGCACTGTTTAGGGGAGGGTTAGGGGAACTTTTTCCTGACAAAATTTATAATATGATTTGTGGACCATACAAAATTATCAGTTTAAAAAATTAGCCTGTTATATTTGGTCAAACATTTCATTAACTGCCCCCTAATGTGATGGTTGCTGTTTAGTACCGTTGAGTCGGTTCCGATCCATAGCGACCCTGTATAGGGTTTCTGAGGAACAGCTGGTGAGCTTGAACCACTGACCTTGCACATGGCACTGTGGGTTAATGTGCTGGACTGCAAAGTTGGTTTGAATTGCAAGGTTGGCTGTTCAAGCTCACCAGCCATTCCCAGGAAACCCTATACAGGGTTGCTATGGGTCAGAACCAACTCGATGGCACTTATCAACAACAACAACATACAGTCCATGGGTTAGACGTTTCCCACCCCTGGTTTAGGGCAAATAACAAGTAAAGAGAGTTGTTGTTGGTGGTGGTGTTGTGGAACGGACTCCAACTCATAGCGACAGAGTAACGTTTCCTAGGCTGCCATCTTGACAGAGGCAGGTCTCCTTTGGAACCACTGGTGGGTTTGAACTGCCAACCTTTCTGTCGGCAGCCAAGCGCTTCACTACTGTGCCACCAAGACTCCTTACCTAGAGACATGGGCATGAAACAATTTCAGCAATATAAAGATGTCCACAGGAGGGAAAAAGAAGAGGAAAGCCCATTGTCCTTCTTTTAGCAAATTCAAATTGTGGTTTTATGGGGAATTTCATTTTCAACTTAAAAAAATATTGTGGTGATAATAAACACACCAGAACATTCACACCAGTTACACTTCAATGATAACAGTTACACGCTGCCTTTCCTGGTGTGATGCTGTGGGTTAATGCGCTGGACTGCAAGGTCAGTTTGAACTGTAAGATCGGTGGTTCAAACTCCCCAGCTGCTCCTTGGAAACCCTATACAGGGTCACTATGAGTTGGAACTGACTCAGCAGCACTTAACAATGAAACAACCACCACTGTGATAGCTACTGGTTTTAAAAAATACGATGCTTTGTTTTAATCACGTGTGGGATTGGTACCTGAGCGATCCAACACGTCATCCACACCACATCCTTTTATTTGCAGGGTCCCAGTGGACCCGTCGGACCCAAAGGAGCGGTAAGTGCAGCAGTGCCCTGCTCTGCCACACCAGAGGCCCTGTCCAGACCTGCACCTTACTGACAAGTCCAGCCGGATAGGAAATCAGTCACCAGGGTGGACAGACAGCAGCCTGACCTCTGACCACCGTTCTCTGCTTTCTGTCCAGTCTGGCGACAGAGGCGAGCTGGGCCCCAAAGGCATCCAGGGTCCCAACGGCACCAGTGGCGTTCAGGGGGTCCCAGGTCCTCCTGGCCCCATGGGCTTCCCAGGAGTTCAAGGCATCCCTGGAATTACGGGAAAACCAGGTGTTCCGGTGCGTGTCTCCTTGGCCCTGGGCGGAACCTGGATGCTTTCTCTTAAAGCATGGCTCCCCTTTCAGAGTGTCACAGCTATCTGGTGACTTTCAGGGCAAAGAAGCCAGCGAGCAGCACATCCGGGAGCTGTGTGGGGGCATGATCAGCGGTGAGGGGAAGACAAGTGTCTGGTCCTAGGGTGTGGTGGGTGTCCTGGGTGGGTACACCCCAGCCCCATGGGGATGCTCGGTCCCTGACCTCGTCTAGGTTCTTCTACTCCTGGCCACCTTCTCCCTCGCACTGTGCCCGTCTGCCAGCCCTGGAGGCACAGCCTCACCCTGTCCCGTCTGTCATGGGCACCAGCAGCACACACTGGCACACCTTGGATGTTCTAAATGCTGCCCAAACATTCACAGCAAACCAGCGTGTCCAGGGACTTTGTGGCAGGCTTCCCAGACAGTCCCTTGGGGGGCATCTTCTGCCCCTCCTGTTCACAGCGTTCTAAGTACTCCAGAGAAGGTGGTCCTTTCTAGCCCTGTGACACAGCCTCTGGGTGTGGAAGAGACCTCAGGACACCGGGCACATACTAAAGCACTTGGAAATGCCCTCGATCCGTCCATGAAGACATCCTGAGAGGCAGGGCAGGGACTCGACGTTCCGATTCGAGACACTGACGCCCACCCATGTTTTCTTCTTTTCAAAGAGCAAATCGCACAGCTAGCTGCTCACCTGAGGAAGCCTTTGGCACCAGGATCCATCGGTAGGCCCGGTCCAACTGGTCCTCCAGGTCCCCCAGGCCCTCCTGGATCCATTGGCCACCCTGGTGCTCGTGGACCCCCTGGATATCGTGGTCCCACTGGAGAGCTGGGAGATCCTGGCCCCCGAGGTGAGTTAGTCCCTTGACATGGGGTTCTGCTGTGGGTACAGCCACAGAGGCCCCCAGATGCCCCCTCACACAGCAGACTTCTCTGGAGTCTCCAGGAGGAGGGAGACAGGTTGAGGCGTCTACAAGGCCCATCTAGCCCTTCTTAAGTGTTACTGAGAAATGACATCACACGTGGAGCCATCACTAGAAGCCATTCGGGCATGTCCTGAGTCGTCACCCTCACTCCTGGAGGCCCTCACCCCTACAGAGCACGTACACAGAGCATTTTAAATAAGGGCATCATTTTCTCAAACACCATCAGAACACTTGTGGGGAGGGACCCATTTTAACATGTGAGAAATGAAGAAATAGGGGTCCCATTGATACTTGGAGTCCTAGTGCCACAGGATAAGCATGGGAGTGCTAACCAAGATCTTGGTGGTTTAAACCCACCAGCCACACTCGACGGCACTGACCCACTTAGTGAGGGTGGATCAGGGTCTGAGTCTCTGCTCCCGAGGAAACGATCTTAGCAACACTCGAGCTCCCCAACTCTGAGCGCCCCTGTAAGGCAGAGCAGAGCTGCTCACTGGCGTTGCTGAGACAACATCTCTATGGCAGCTGACTGCCTCATCTTTCTTCCCGGGAGCAGCAGGTGGGGTAGAACCACGCCCTGACGTTAGCAGTCCAGTGGTCAGCCTCACTACGAGAGCAGCAGGAAGAAATCCCAGTACAAGTGACCCTGAGGTTCAAGGGTCGCCTGTAGTTGACTGGCACCCCTTGGTCCTCAAAGATCCTCAATTCCTGGGAATGCTTTGGGGTGCCCAGATATAAATAGGGGACATCTGGAAGCTCGATAACACACAGCTGTGTGAATTTTTGGACGCTGACGTTTTCCAAAACATCCTTTAAATTTTAGATAAGCAATTTGCCACCTCACCTCAAAGCCCAAATCAGGAATGTAGAACCTGGCTCCTTCATCTTAGAGACAGAATTTCAGTACGTGTGTAGGTGAGACGCATTGCCTAAGACTCAGAGATGAAGAGTTACACCATAAGGGCAAAGCTGCCACCACATTCATGCCACTGTGCCCTAGCAGTACCCACCCACACTAACCACCCAGTAAAGCCACAGCCTCAGACAAGGCCAGATAGGAAGTTTTCACATAGGGATGTGAATTCCTTCAGGATGTTTGAAAATAAAAGTCAAACCCAGCATCCCTGATCTTTACTGATGCTCTCAGAGAGCACAGTGCGACAACACTGAACAAAGTCAGGGCCAACGAAGGTGAAGGCCGCACAGAGGCAGGGACCTGTGTCCTCTGGCTTTCTGTCTGCAGATGAGTCCCTGGGCAGAGGGGGCCAGGCTTCTTCCTGGGGGAGACTAGGCCCTGTAAGAACTCGGTGGGCACTCACCCAGAGGCCATTTACTAGGGGGGCTTCCATCTCATCTCCCTGGAAAAAGGCAGCACCGAGGAGGAGCACCCTGTATTCACCAAGGGCACCCCAGGACGGTAACCCTGAGTCTGAAGCAGCCGCTTCAGTGTGACTGAGGTATCAGATGCCATTATAGCGCCGTGCCCATGGTGAAGGCCACCCTGAGATCTGCAGCCACGATGCCACTCCACCTGTGGTCCGTGGGTGATGAAGGACATGTGAGGTGGCAGCAGTCACAGGGGTGGCCTCTTTTGTGCTTCTGGTCAGCTTCAGAAGAGTCAAAGGCGGAAAAGATGTGCTGACAAATGCTAACCTAAGGAATGCTGCTACCAAGATCAGGCCAAAGTGGCTCTCCCCCATAGCGTCTTTGGCCCTATAGAGACTCTACCAGGCAAAGAAAGGGTTCATGACCAGGAGCATGACTCGAGGATGACCGGTTGGCGTCTAGTAACAAAGCAGACAAAGTAGAGGTTGGCAAATCTGCCATCAAAATGAGACTTCTCTGCACCTAGCCCAGTCACGGGGAGCGCAGTGGCTTCATAGGATGAGCACTGGTCTGCGAACCACAAGGTCCAAGGTTCGAGTTCACCAGCCACTGTGAGAGAGATGAGATTTTCTGCTCCTGTGAAGATTTCAAGCCTCAGAAACTCTATACAGGGTCACTGTGAGTCGGAACCGACTCAGCAACACTTAGAGCAGGGGATCTCAGTCATGAGGGGTCACGCAGAAGGAAACACATAGAGACGGAAGATTTGAATAGCTCAACTAGAGGGGCATTTAAAACACCTTTAAGGAACTCCTGGGTCAAAAGACATTATTTAACAAATACAAATATTTTCAACAAAACTAACATTCCATTCCATCAGCAGCCAGGCTATGGGTGGGTGCAGTTGGTCCAGATCCATCGACCAGTTGACTCCTTTCCCACAAGGTGGTATCAAGTGCGGCCGCAGTGCGCTTTACGGCCCCAGTGTCTCTTTAAGTGCATGCAGACGTTTTACAGTGTGGCTTTGTGTTTATGTCTTCTGACAGGAAGCCAAGGGGACCGAGGGGACAAAGGCGCCACTGGTGCTGGCCTGGATGGGCCTGATGGAGACCAAGGACTCCAAGGTATGCGCTGCTGGGCCGTTTTTCTGAGCACCCTTCCCAGGGTTTCAGAGCTCCAGACTGGGGTGGCTCCTTTTCTTAGAAGGAAATCTTTTTTTTTTTTTTTTTTTCCTTTTGGCAAAGCATTCTTAGAGGCAAGATGAGGAATTGTTTTAGTAAATAGATCATCTTGAGTCTATTAGATTGTAGAATTTAGAAACAGATTTAAATTCTATTTAAGGCTATTCATTAACTATTTTGTCTAATTCTAACTGAATTTTCCTTGCATTGACCCATACATACCCAAATCAATCCCACTGGTATTGATGCCAACTCAGCAACCCTATAAGACAGAACTGACCCATAAGGTTTCCAAGACTCTGGCACTGTAGGATAAGCACTAGACTGCCAACCCCAAGACAGGGTTTCTCTATGGCACTTTATAACAACACCAACAAGCCCACCTTCCTCCCACAGAGCTGCTGTTGGGTTCAATGGCTTAGCCACCGTATCATCAGGCCTCCTCCCACACACATACTGGGCATTTCAAGTTTTAAATGTTGAATCTCACTGCCTGTCCCTGGCTGAGGCCACCCCTACCTACCTGTGTCTGGCACCCGGTGCCTTCACGGAGAGTTGCTTCCAGATCATTCTCCTTCATACACATACGCTTGGCACTTGGTGTTGAGGGCGGGCAGCCTCTGCGCCTATACCCCGACATCTCCCAGCTGCCTCCCAGTGTCCCCTGAACCACTTTCTCCCGGCCCAGCCATGTCACTCTGCCTGTGCTGAGCTAGCTCTTTCTTCCTCCCTGAACCCCAAGGCTCAAGTGCCCCCATCTTTGTTGAGGGTCCTATAGAGTCAGCCTTACATACCAAGCCCAGGAGTGGCCTTGCCACCCTCACTTAGCAGACACTACCCTTTCCTTCTGCACTCAGGCCC